TACTCCTGATACACAAACTTGTAGGATATTGAGTTCCTTCCTGTAAGACTCCCCTTCTGCGTAGACTAAGAGATGCCTCTTGCAGTTATTGTATGGAAGTACAAGGTCTCTGGTCCCCATCTCTTGCCTCTAGTGCTCCTCCATGAGTTCAATGTTATGGAGTCTCAGGTATGAGTGTGGGAACGGAACATGTAGAATCAAGTTGTGGCTTAAGGCCAAGATTTTATCCAGCTCCTGGATAAGTAAGGAGATTAGTGCATAAAGCCTGAAAGAAACCAGAGGACAATAATGCTCCTTCAGAGAGTGCAGGACCATCCAACAGTACTATCTCTACCGAAGTCAGTCAGTAAGAGTTAGTAGGTCATGTTGGGCTGAGCTGTGAAGGACTTTGAAAGAAGAGACTCACTAATGGGACAGACAAAGCAGGGTTTGGCCCTGAACAATCCCATCTCCCAGCATGCCTGGGAATAAAAGGGTGAAGAAAATCTCTGCTGGTGCAAGCTATCATACACATCCACTACAGTCAGTGTAAATTTGTTGTGAGTTCAAAGGACAGCAGCCCAAGCTCAGAGTCACGGGACTGTCCCCACAGGCATGTTAGACAAAGATTGTCTAAACCTTGCATGGCCCCAGTCATCACTCAGGCCCACAAAACCACCACCAGTGGCATCATTGCAGCCCACCAGTCCTGCAACCTCTGTGCACCCAGAGTGGCTGTATGAGCAGAGGTCCAATGTCTTCTGGCCAAACCCACCCTTGAAACCCAGTTGCAAACAGAGCTACCAGCAAGACCAGTGCCTGAAGTAAACTGCCTCTGCAGCAGGAGGCTGTTTATGAACTATTCTTTACTGCTGGCATAGCACCGGGCTCGTTTTCACCTTTCTTAAAGGTTAACCTCATTTCCCTCTATTAGTTGGTTTTAGCGAATGCCATTCGGCGCAGCAGTTAAAGAGCTCTGTCAGCGGATGGAAATGACAGTGGCATTTAGAGCCAGTCAGAGTTGAAAGTTGGGGGGGTGCAAGGGGAGGGTGGAAGAAATAATCTTCAATAAAACGTTTGCAGGGGGATGTTAAGTGACATGAAAGGAATCTCACTTTCCCCAGCGAGCGATCTTTGGCTCTGTGTGCTGAGGGCTAGAATTCCCTGAGTCTGAAGTGTGCCTAAATTTAAAGAGATGAAATGCTTGGGGGGCTCCAGCCTGGGCCAGGGGGCATCCCACATCTATGGGTGACTCCTTATTGGGTCCAGCAGGTCCAGGTTTGTGCTGATTGTTGATTTTGGTAAAGGAAAGTTCCTCTGTGACCATGGGTGTGTTGGTTATAAATTTTATCCCACCTTTTGACATGCATTTCCATTTCTGCAATGGTATTTCAGGTGACACTATTTAGTCATAGTTTTCCTGCATTCTCTCACTGCTCACAGGCAATCACCAACTGTACAAAATTTAACAACAGCAAGTGTTGGATTTTGCACTTAGGACAGTGTAACCCTGGTTACACATACAGACTGGGGGATAAGAGGCCGGACAGCAGCCCTGCAGAAAGGGATCAGGGGGTTCTGGTTCACAGCAAGCTGAATATAAGCCAGCAGTGTGCCCTGGCAGCCAAAAGGGCCAGCTATACCCTGGGGTGCAGGGTATAGACACAGCTGGCTGAGGGAAGGGTTTGACCCGCTGTGCTCTGCGCTCATGCAGCCTCACCTTGAGCACTGCATGCAGTTGGAGGCTCCACATTGCAAAAAGGACATAAAAATGTTAGAGAGTGTCCAAACGAGGGCTACAAAGATGGTGAAGAGTCTAGAGGGGAAGACGTATGAGGAGCAGCTGAGGTCCCTTGGTTTGTTCAGCCCTGAGCAGAGCAGGCTGAGGGGAGGCCTCATGGCGGCCTGCAGCTCCCTCACGAGGGGAGCGGAGGGGCAGGCGCTGAGCTCTGCTCTCTGGGGACAGCGACAGGACCCGAGGGAACGGCATGGAGCTGGGACAGGGGAGGGTCAGGCTGGGGGTTAGGGAAAGGTTCTGCACCCAGAGGAGGTCAGGCACTGGGACAGGCTCCCCAAGGACATGGTCGTGGCACTAGGCCTGTTTGACTTCAAGGAATGCTTGGACAACACTCTCAGATACATGGCGTGATGTTTGGGTGGTCCTGTGTGGAGCCAAGGGCTGGACTCGATGATCCTTGTGGGGGACCAACTCGGGATATTCTGTGATTCTGTGCTCTGAGCTGCTGTTTTAAATGCTGTAGTCAGGAAAATCTTCCTCTTCCAGTCAGAGGAAGGAAGAGTTTTGGTGGAAGGAGGCTAAGAAAAGAGGCAGAATAAGGGAGATATGTAAAGGGGAATATATAGATTCCCAAACCCTAGCATACAAAAGGTGTGACCAGAATCATTCAGGCCCTGCTGTTCTTCTGCTCCATCATCACCACACCTCCCCTGGCACCACTGTAATATGCCATTCTGCATCAGGGAGACTTTGGGAGGTGTGATATCAACAGCAGGGGGGAAGGGGACATACTGAGCAGCATTTCAGAAAATTTAGGGTCTGATCTAAAGCCTGCAAGGCTCCGTGGCACTCTTTTTTATTAACTTCAATAAGCTTCAGCTTTAACCTTGCATCCCCGATGTTTATTTCAAGCGCTGGTGTAGCATCGCTTGGAATATAATGTTCTTTCGCATACGCACCTTGGGGTAATGGTCTAAATGAGTATGTGGATAAGTTAGGCCAGATCCTGCCAGGCAGTGTCCTGAAGCAGACCCATTCATTTCTTGGGTCATTTGTTGAGCTGGCCAAAGCATTTCAAAGGAACGGTTATCTAGCCGAACGTGAAGTTTTGTAAAAGGCAAAGCGTTCCCCTGGAACGGGTCCGTTTCAATGAGATTTTTGCCAGGGGACATTTTTTTTTGAAATTAATGCATCGAGTTCTTATTTCAGGAGGCACAAACCTGTCATTTTAACAGAATCTTTTTGATTAATTTTGTTTCAAGTCTGTATTGTATTAAACCACTAAGAACATAAGAGTTTCCGTTTGGGGTTAGACCAAAGGTTTTTCTACTCTGTTCCAGCAGTGCCCATTAGAAAGAGTAAGAACAGGGCTTTTATAAAGAGTGTCCCTTTTCTTAATATCCTTCAGCTTCCAGCAGTCACAGATTTAGTGATTAAGATAGATTTTGCATCTGGATCTTCATGTTTAGTAGCAGCAAGTGGACACTCCTTGTTCCTTTGGATCTAATTTATGACTTTTGCCTTCAACAACATCCCATGGCAGAAACTCTTTCCTTTATTCATATCGTGTGCGAAAATGTACTTTCTTTTGTCTGGCTGAAAACCACAGCCATTCTGCTTTATATATTTTATGTTTTGAGGTTATTAAGACAAAGCCTTTGTATTCCTCTGAGACAAAACCCTGTAACATTTCACAACTGAAGAATTTCCATTTCACAAGAACTTTGGCCTCTCCAATTCAAAGTGGAAGCACATTTTTTGAGACATAAGTATTTCCCATAGAAAGAAAATTCCATTTTTCATCCAGTTTCAGTCATTTCATTATATCAGTGTAATCGAGGGTGACGGCAAAAAAAATAATAATAAAAACAAACAAAGAAACAAAACCTACTTCAGCATCCTAGGAAGAGCTGGAGAGAATGAATGAAAGTTTCACAGCAGCAGCTTCTTCCACCCAGCTGAGCTAGGAAGGTAACACAGACAGGTTAAGGGGATCAGTCACCCCTACCTGATCACACTGGCATTGTGTCATGCCCCGACTCTATAGTTTAAATGCCTGTAAGGCAGGTGGCATTCATTACAGGGAAAGAGACTAATTTTCCTTTTAATTTTTATCTCCAAAATCCCCAGAGTGGGACTTCTACCTAGATAAAGCAGGACAGGCTTAAGGAAAGATACAGCACCTTATTTTTAGGTGATGTGGGTCTGTCTTTGGGGGATAAAACATCACTTTTAAGGCTTTCTTGCAGTCTGTGGGATGTCTGAAGGGTTCAATGGGTGGATCCCATTTAAGTTCAAGTCTTGCAACAGACATGCACCCCACGCCCAGCTCTGCTGCTCACATCCATAGGCAAATCCCGACAGTTTCAGCTCTTGCTCAGTAAAGCAGAATGAAATTAAATTTCTATTTCAAACCTTCCTATTTTTCTGCTTATAGTCACAGGCAGGACTGTCTCTTTCCATGCTTACATTCGCAGCCTGGCACACTCTACTCTGATTTTAGCTGTGGATTCCAGATACAAGCGTCAAACAAATAATACACAAAACTTCCGTGTGAAATACAGCTTCATAACTGAAGTGAGCATTAGGCCCGGAGCTGAATGATGTAGGAGAGGTGTTATTGAGACCTATGAGACATGCTGCTTGGATTCCTTTATTATTATTGTATTCTTTTGCCTCTCCTTCTTCATTTTCTTTGTTTGTAGACGAAGGGATGGAGAGGAAGGAAGCCAGCAAGTTTATAAAAGCAAGAGAGAAAGGAGTTGAGGCATTTTTGTGGAGATCTTTAATGACATTCTGTATAATTTGAAAGTGGGGAGGGAACGGGGGAGAGAAAAAGGGAATTAGCAAAAAAACTGGCAAAAGAAAAGTGGAATGTGGAGAGAAGCGTGTGGATGAATTTTAATGCAATCAGAAAGCTGTAATAATGGTAATAAAGGAATATATTCAGACGTCAAGAGAGGGAGAAGGGAACAGGACCCGCGACGCCAGAATTTAAATTAGACATAGGCGTATAATTCTCTTTTCTCCCCCCCCTCTCCCCACCTTTCTTCAAATGAAGGAAATGGAATTTTTAAGCACAGCGAAAGAGGGATTAACAATTGGCAGGTTTTCAGCCCTTTGTCTTTTGGCGAATCCCATTTAATCACCGTCTTTAATATTAAGGAGGCTGTGGCCGTGCAGGGCTGTCTCAGGCTTGGGGGAAAAGGGATGATATACAGAGGAAAAGAGAGATAACACTTAGGTTCAGGCAATTGTGAGGAAGTGTTTCAATTACCTCCACTGAAGTCTTTAAAAACTGAAGTTTAATTTGATCTGAAATGTCGTCACAGCTCCTGCAAGAGAAAATATGTCCTTCCCACCCCCCTTTCTCCCATGTCTTTGCTGTTCCAACAACCCTCGCTGCTCTAGGCTTGAGTGCTATCATGGATTAATGTTGCGGCCTTCTGGGCTTCTGGAAAAGGTTTCAAAGCCCCGACAGGTCACCAGTGGGATGAGTTTAGGAACTGAAACTTATTTTCCTGACATACCAGCCTTGACACCACTGACCCTGCGGAGTTTGTCAAGAAGCTTCTAAGCTTTGGTCTGAATGAGTGTGAAAACCAAACAGCCCTTCAGGCTCAGCCTCAGCCCAGTGTTGCCACAGAGTGAAAAGGGGACCTTACACGTAGGAATTAAGATGTGTTAAATTCCCCAGAATCAAAGGCTGCAAGAGTTGTATTCAAATCTGAGCTGTCTCTAAAAGATGAGTGTAAAAGCATGATGTAATTCAGCGTTTGTTTGAGGTGTCATTTGATAGTACAAGACAGTCTTCTCCTTCACCTACTTCTTCAGGAAATCCATCAAGCTGAGTGAGGGAGGCATTTGTAGATCTGCAGGAGCTGGAAGCCATGGAAAATCCTGAAAAGCTTAGATACAGCACAGGTACATACATCCACACTTCCATGCTGGGTCTCCTTAGGTGCTTTTCTGCCATGAATATTCCAGTGCACCATCTCATGGCCAGGGCTATTCCCACGAAACTGCAACTGTAAGCACAGGATACTAATAGTTAGGGAAACATATGTGGGTTTTTTGTTTGTTTATTTTGTTTTGTTTTTCCAATTATTGGAAGGCTGATTTGAATTCAGTTATTCTTCGTATTGTGAAGGGAAGGAAAAGAGAAACTGGGTTCTTCGGCTATACATCAAATTTTAAAAGATCGAATTTTGAATCCTGAGTCTTCTCCCAAAAAAAAAAAAAAAAAAAAAAAAAAAAAAAAAAAAGCACTGTCTCATGAATCATTCTCAGAAATATTCCAGTTGAGTGTTTCAGATAATGAATAAACTTCTAAGAATTATGATCTGCCAGGCACAAATCAGGCAGAGTCCTTGTGCTTTGCATGACACCAGCTCTAAGATTGCACTCACCACTAGATTTCCTAAATAAAGGCTACTAATAAAGTGAGTTGTTGCGAGTTGTTTCCCCAGCTCCATATCAAACACCATAAAACCTGTCATTTAAGATCTGCACAGGGAGTAGCATCTCTTGGCAATGGACAGTTGTGACGGCGCTGTTCAGCAAGCCAGAACTGCTGATATTTGTCTTGGGGTTATAATATTCTCAGCTGTGCAACGAGATTCTGCTGTTAGAAGAATCGCTTGGGCTACCTCTTCATGGCAGGGTTTGCTTGGCGTGTTGCCCTGGTACTGTTCATAACTTATCCTGTATCTACACAGAGGAAGCCTGAGTGTGCTTTCCTCTGAGCTACAGACCTGTAGGTGTACACTTAGATGTCACTTCTCTGCAGGTAGGCAGTGGGTACTGCCACAGGAGCCAGGCCAGCAATGCCCAGGGAGTGATCATCCTCCTAGTCTGAACTTTCTTCTCCCTCTCCTTCCATTTTTTGTCCCAGCTCCATTCTGCACATCCGTGCCCTCCCCAGACAGTTTCTGGATATGATTCAGCAGCTGATGAGGACCAACGAGCTCTTTGAGTACCTGTGAAAATGGTCTCCCCACTCAGGAGGATAGGCCAGCAGTACAGTTGAGGGCCTTCAATATAAAGAATAGGCCCCGACACATTTAATTTAACACCATAATCCTAGATTTTGGGTTCACCTGTTGGCAGCGTGTTAAATTTCTTTCCAATTACTCATGAGGCCAACAGCAGTCACCATCTGTGTTCTCTTGGACACATGCACCTAAATTACTGTGACAATGTTTTGATAGATCACACCACTGAAGGACTTAAAAATCTCTCCCCAGATGACCCCTCCAAGATGCGTGGCCATTGTCCTTTGCAGAAGCAGGGCTTTCCATTCAGAACTAAGCTTTGCCTTGATTTACCCTTACCATGGAGCTGGGGGAAGCTTCAGCCACCTTAATCTGAGAGCAACCCCCAGAGGGTTCAGACAGAGATCTCACCACCAGCTGGCCAGATGCCATTCAGTGTTATTGCCAGAACTGCTTGCATTTGTGGCTATTGGCAAACACTGAAGAACCTCAGCAACACCCAGTTATGCCTGGTGGAAACTCCCATCTATTCTTTTTACAGATGGGGAAACTGAGGCTGCCTTTTTCCCTAGGTGATTATTATATCCTACATTTCCACTGAGGCCCTTATCCTTGGCAGAGATGTATTGTAAGTCTTTTGTAACAGTAACTACATGGTCTTCCGTCCTACTAGTGCCAGGAATAACAAATCACATTAAGGGAAAAGTGATTTTGCTTTCCATAATATCTATATCACAGCTTGAGATGGGACCCAGGAGTCTCAAATACCAGTTGAAAATGTGCAGACGGAAACTTTGGCCAAGCTCTTGCATATTCTCTTGGGTCCACTCTTCCATAACTGAATCAGGAGTGATTTCCACTCTCTCCCAAAACAAGATGCAGGGCCTGTCAGTGGAAACCAGTTAGCAGCGTGCTCAACATAAACAAAAAGAAGCAGTTTGTAACACAACACATGATTAAGCTGCAGAACATCTTGCTGCGGGATGCGCTGGATGCATGGGTTCAAATCCCAGGGAATAGTTACATTGGAGAAAGACACTTTGAGAGCTGTTGTATACAAAAATACCACTTTAGACTCTGGAAGCCCCTAAACTGCAGAGCGCTGAAGTCTGGAGAATATCTGGGGAGATTAACAAAATTGCTTACCTTGTTCTCATGCTCTTTCCTAGACATCTGCAGTTGGCCATGGTCAGAGACAGCGCTCTGAGTCAGACACACCATCTCTTGTACAGCTGTTCTTCCACTTTGTGTGCAGGATCCACATCCAAGTCAAGGCCCAGAGTGCAGCCAAGCAATTAAACATGAGAAATCCTTCAAACTAAGTTTTTCAGATGTAACAGTGGAGAGTAACACACCTGTGGGATGAAGCTTCCTTCTTTGTGCAGGAGAATTATTCTCCCACACCTGGGCTTATACTCATTTGCGCTTGTCCCCATCACACAGCTGTTCAGATTAGCTGTTATTCTCTCTAGCCCGGGTGTCTCAAAGCCTCTGTCTCCAGCAGTCGGAGACCGGCAGCTGTGCAATCATATCTGCTAACGTATGGGATATAAAGAATCTGTTAAGTAAAACCAAACCGGGGAGGGAGGAGGGGAAGAGATCAGCACAAAGAAATCACTCCTGCTAAGATGTGATTAGGGATGCCCCACAACACCCAGCTGCGAGGAACAGGTGAACTCAGCAAACATTTTAAAGCCTGCAGCAGAATTAGCCCCTTGTGGGTGTTGTTGGAGATGGGGAGGGGGAGTGAGAAAGGGGGAAATAGGCGCCCGTGCGGGTGGAAGGAGGATTAGGTTGCTATTGTTCAGAGTTAGGTAGCAGTAGGTTTTTATTGTTTCCAGTGTGGGTTGGGTTTTTGGTTGTTGTTGTTGTTGTTTTTTTTCCCCCATCCTAATTTTTGAAACACCTCCATTTTACAAGGTTCATGTATTTTCCAGCAAGGTACCACGGAGAAGATAATTAGCTAATTTACAATTAGCTACAACAGAATTCGTAATCGCTTCCCCTGTGGAAAGGGCTGTAATCATCATCACGGAGCTGTAGGACTGCTGTGAAAATGGCAGTAGGAGTGTGCAGCCCAGGCCCCAGGAAATGCCCTGCTTTTAGCCTATTGATCCGCCTGATTAGCACGGGGTGAGGGGAGCGGTGGGGCACTCTGGCTGTTTGAGCCTGCAGCTTGGAGTTCACAGCCGGACCTCAATCCAAACTTTGACAACATTCAGGGGCTTGCAGCCTACCCCTCTGCTCTGTAGCTCCTTCTTCGGATACCATGATTGTCTGACACACCCAATGTTTATAGCTCCTCTGTGGATTTGGCACATCCCCAACCCTAGTGTATGGCTGTGTGGTCCATCCCTCCCTGATGGACACCCTTAGTGCCATTGCCTCTCCCCTTTCCATCAATGGACTGATCAGGAAAGTGGGCAAGGAAGATCCATGCTGCCTCTTGCTTCCTCTGTGGTCGATGTGCCCCTCAGTCCCATGCAGTGGCATTTTGTTCTTTCTCACACCTGCATGGCAAACGTCTCCAGGCTGCTCCTTTGCTCCTTCATGGTGCCAAGGAGACAAGCCCAAAGGCCTTCCCGGTGCCTGGGCCAGGGCTCTGCAGCTGGTCCCTCACTGTGTGTGCAAGCAGTGTTTGGGGAGGAGGGAAACGGCAGCAGGGACAAATAATTATTAGCTATACAAATAATGGAATTAATTAGCATCTGCTTTCTGAAACGAAGCCACGCAGCAACCTGGTCGTGATGCTTAGAAAGCCAAAGGCATTGAGTAACATTAGCGAACTGCTCTGGTGAATACCATGCTCCCACAGAAGACGTGTGTTCCCATACAGAAATACACAAATGTGAGGTTTGCTCTTGCATGGAGAGGCACACGCACCATCCATCTGTGATGCCCTAGCAATGAACTCGTGATAAAATAGGGATGCTCGTAGGTTTTAGAATGAGAGGTTTGATGGTTGGAAGGGACCGTAGTGATCTTCTGGTTCACCCTCCTTATTAGCCCGGGCCACAAAGGTGGTGGATCTGTCCCTCTTTATTTCCAAGGCCTTGGATGTGATGTTCTAGATGGTAAAACCGGCTTATGCTTTCCTGATACAGGGATTCAACCTCTTTGTTTTGCATGAGGAATACGAGAACACAAGTGTATTTATATACTCTTATCTAAATGTACCCCCACGCGCACACATACATTAGCGAGAGCTATCTGGATAAACACAAACCTGTGTCATGTCTCTCTGAGAGTGACCCTAATTTTCCCCCAGTCCCTCCACAATTGCTGTGATTCTTGTTCTTGTCCTTTTGCTCCGCGGAGGGTCAAACATCCTGCATCTCATTGTCCCTTCTGTCTCTTTAATTAGTGCCCGTCCTCCCCCTTCTCCCCCCGCTCCAGTGTCCCCCCTTCCCATCTCCTCTCGGCACTTGGTTTGCAGTGCTCTATTATTTCACCTTTCACGCATGCCGTCTCCTTCGCCTGGGCCTGTCTGACACCTCTGCCTTACGCTTATCATAAAAACATAACATTTAAATACAAATAGAACAGGGAATAATTTAACCCCTATTTGCACTGGAGAAGGTGCTGAGGCTTCGTATAAACACAGCTGGGGAGATTTATAGAGAGTGTATATTTATCTGACAAGTTACATTTCTTCACCGCCGCACCTTGCAGCCAGTTTGTCCTGATTTGAGCAAGCCCCTGTGGCTGGCAGAGTGGCCAGGAAAAGGCATGGTCTAGTTTTGGAGGAATATTGGAAATGTCACCAAGGGGACACCTCTGAAATCTTGCGATTGCTGAAGCCTTTCTCACCCTGCCTCTCTTCCTGGGAGGAACAGGGAATGCTGGCTCCTCTGGTCACTGTGGTTTGTTTATGGCAAAAAGGGGCAAGCCTTGAGATGAATTTAGTTTCCAATATTATGGGGGTGCCTCAGGTCGCTCATGGTGACGGTCTCTTTGGCTCTTCTGGGCAAGATTGCACAGAGGAATAACCATTCACGGTTATTTCCCTGGGCCAAATAAACATGATGGACTCAGGTTTTTGGAAAAAAACAATAATAGGTTTAACACTAATGAAAGAAAACAAAAATGTAGGAAGAGGCTTACATGAATGCCACACTGAGCCCCTAGACTGCTGCTGGAAAGGGCTGCCCTTACAGAGAGGCTAGCGAGGTTTCTTCCACAACATGTTTTGTCTGGGACCTGGCAGAGCAGCACACGGGGGTACTCAGGATGTGAGGCTCACACGAGCACGTTAGGGGGATAAACTCATTAGCCAAGATCGGGAACGTGCTGAATTGGCCCAGCTGCTGTCCCTCCCCCCCTCTCTTCCCACCCTGGGCATGCGAGGGATGCTGTTAAAACGTGCTGCCGAGCACCCTGGCAGGGCTGGGACGTGAAAGGTAAACGCAGCACTTTGTTAGAAGAACCTCTCCGAGAAAAAAAAAAGCGTGTTAAACTGACTCATTTTTTATCAGCCGAGTGTGTGATCGTGTAGATTTCTGAGGTGGCAGGTGTGACAAATGATTCCCCTGACGGCCCAAGGCACGGTTTTTCAGGAGGAAGAGAGGGCGCTGATCAGGAGATGGGGCTGGAGGTGGTGTCCAGGCGGTGCTGGACACCTCGGGGGGTCCCTTTGGGCCACCTGCCCTGCAGCAGCCGGGCCAGCAGCTGCTGGGCAAGGTAGTCCTCACCCTCGGCAGAGCCTTTTCATGGTGGTCTGATGGCCACCTTGTGGGCAGCTCACAAAGCACTGCTTCTCCTGCCAGCCAGCTCCCGAGATAGCCATCACCCCTCCCGGTGTCCTGCAGATATATAGAAAAGGGGAGTAAAATAAAACAAAATAAAATATAAAATTAAGCGTTTCCTAACATACCTAGTTTAAGCTTTGCATAAACTAAACCAGACAAGGCAGTTTCAGGCCAGTTCCACACTAGAGAGTTTTGCTGACAGAGGGATGTGATTTTTTTTTTTTTTTTAATGATACATTTATATTAGCAAAAAGCCTGGTGAAAATACAGTTGCAGAGCTATAGGAGTGCTTTTGCTGATGCAGCTTATTTCAAACAGGGGAAATTGTATAGCGTACAATATAACAGACACTTCCTCTGTGTGGGAAGTATTTACTAGACACAAACTCCCTTGGCAAAGCCCTTTGCCAGTGGTGTTCCCTGCTCACTCACACCCCTCTGCTCCCATCTTCCAGGGCAGCTGTTCTCACTTCCCAGGTGGGTTTTCCTCAGGTATCTGGACAACCCTTGGAGTTTGGACTCAGCTCTTTCTCCAAGGCTTTGTCTTTCCATATCCTAAAATACACCCCACAGCACACATTCAGCTTCAGTTGACACTTTATACCTCACCTCTGAGAGTCTCTTTTGCACATCAGTTTAGCCATCAAGTAAAGTGATTTCTGCTGGGACTTACGAAGTGTTCCCTGAAAATGGTAGTTAGGTCATGCAGAAGAGATGTTGCTAAAGCTAAATTCCCACCTGGCTCCCCGTCATTTGGTTACTTGACTGAGAAATGTCATTGGTTCATCACAGGCCAAGGAAAGCCAAGGAGGTCCTTCAGGCCCTCAGGGATGTGATCTGTAGGGAGCATTTTGACTATTTAGTTCATTCTTTGCCTTTACTGGATTGAAATTACTCAAATCCTTTCTAAAAATACTGGGCGAATCACTGACAAGTACATTTGGGGGAAAAAACATCTTGTGATTATACAGGTTCCCCAATGTTGTTCCTTGGGGTTTACCATCCATTCACTGAGCGTAATCACCAATCCCATTCTACCTCCTGGATGAAGTGAGGAACAAAAGGCATCCTGAAAATTAACCTTTACAATATCCAAAGCAGCTTCTCTTGAGGTAGGGACAACATACACTGGTCAAGTTAGGGCTTTGTGCATCATTAAAGCCTCAACTTTGTGTTGCCAGCAAAGACCTCAAAGAATCTCTTTGCCTAATCAATGCCAACATAAAGTAGGAATATTTCTTGCTTTAAACATATCTATCAGAAGGTTATCCCTGGTTTTTCTCTTCTATCAGAAAAGCACACATACCCTCCTCAATCTGTTTTTCCTGCCATTTCTGCAGCCTAACTGAAAGCAACATAACTCCTTGTTTTCTGCGGGCAGTGCACTTTTGGTTCACGTGGATAACTCCACTGCAGGACTGAAAGCTCCTAATATCCTCAGCAGATATCAACTACATGAAAAATTATCCTCATCCAAGGCTATAGAGTAATTTGCCAATTTGCAGGTGCATCTTGGAGAGGGGAATTTTGATCAAACACTGGTTGAAGCAGAACAGATTGTCTACACCAATGATTTCTCAGTGAACAAAAGTGACATAAATCACCCAATTAGTCAGCCAGAAAAGATATGTTGCAAACCAATGTTTTGTTCAGCTTTAGGTTAATATGTGCATTAAAAATAAATAAATAAAAATTCAAAGTATTTATTTATTTATTTACATATATTTATTCAAATTGGTTACATCTGCTCTGTAAACTGCTCTGAAAAAAAAAATCTTGGTTCACCCATTTACATAGTGTTTAATGAATGATAAATAAGACATTTATGAATCATGTGCAAATGGCCTGTTTACATACAAGATGTAAACTATGTAAATTTCTCTCTCTTTTTTTTTTTTCCATGTAGTAATGGTAGTAGTCTCTAAATATAAACCTGATTTAGAGGCATCCCTCAGAGCCTCCTGAGACCTTTCTACCAACTCAGTAGCCATTGGTTTGGTCTGTTTTCACAAATATTTTCTCAAGGTGTCTTGTTCTGGACTGAAGCTCTCCATACTTGGTATAAGTCCAAGTATAAATAGTCCTCTTCATTCAAAATACAGTTATCTGTCAGCAGACCACATCCTGCTTTGACATGAAACAGCACCTTCTTGAGAAAACTCAGATATTAGAATTCATATAAGTTTATTTTATGTTTCAAGAAACAATGTATGTTTCAAAAACTTTAGGTTTATTTCAAATTAACTTTATATATATATTTATAAATAAATAAATATATATATATATAAAAATGCATCCAAACCTGTAGGTATGTGAGTGGGTATGAACAACAAATCTCAATTTACTGGCTGTGGCTTCAGCTATATCCTGATTCAAAACAGCTTATGTTAAACATTTTTTTTCCTGCGACTTATTTAGTATTGCGAGGGCTACTAATTTATGTTGTTTTTCAGTTGGACTTTATTTATGTATGCTATCTTTATCCACATTTCACTTGGGTGGCAGTCTGAGCAATGTTGTCATTTCAGTTACTGCAAGCTGACTGCAAAAATTGATCAGAAAAAGCTGATTTGGAAGACTTCAGTGCCTAGATTTTGAGAAGCAGTTAAAACATTTTAGATATTTCTGGGGTTTGGGAGTTTTTTTCCTTCTTCTTTGAAATTGTCAAATTATTTTCAAGTACTCACTGAAAGTCAGATGTTATTAAGGTGTTTTGAGCAAGGCACCTGAAATGACTAGCAGCTTCTGAAATATGTCACCTCAATGAAATCACTGTTTCTTCTGCATGTGATACTGAGCTATCTTGGCTTTTGCATCCCTCCCGAAATATGGTAAGCATCTCTTTATTTTGTTCCAGAAGACAGAAAACTCTTCGTGGGCATGCTCAATAAGCAGCAGTCAGAAGATGACGTGCGCAGGCTATTCGAGGCATTTGGCAACATCGAGGAGTGCACAATCCTTCGGGGACCCGATGGCAACAGCAAAGGTAAGACAATGGCTTATGGCACACTATGGCTTTAGCTCTGAGCTAGACCCAGTCTTGGTGTATATATAATTTCCTGGCACGACAGTCACTATGTGGCTGCCAGGTCAGCACCTCTTACATTAGGAAGGGTCATGTTTGCCACAGGAGGCCATTTCTTTGCTGGTTGCTGCCTTCTTTTGCATGACAACAAAGAGCTGATTGCAGCTAAAAACACCCTCTCCACAACAAGCTATGTCTGACCACATGCAAGCTGTTGCCTATTGCTGTTTGCTTGCAGGGCAGAACCTCCCCTCTGAATGCAAAACCTTTACATTTGCTCAAGATCTGCTCCCCCCACCAGCCCTAGGAAAGTTGGGAGTTTCTTCCCCCACTGAGCAGGCTTATTCTTTCCTTAAACAAAGCTGTATTTTCTGTTTTACATCCTTACTCACCAGCTCCAACACTGCCTCTGCTTATTTCCTATCCAGCAGCCCCAGGTCTTCTTCTTCTGTTGTTGGTTCTTGCATAGTTATGCACCAACCAGTGACCATTATTTCAAGGATACAGGATCTGATGTAAATATAACACTCAGTAGGTATTTGCTGCTTGAAACGTGTCAATGCCTAATTGCACAACTAGGTGTCTTACCTCCTTCTGCCACTTTTTTGGCATCCTTCGTTACCTGGATAGCACAAGGAAACCTTTCCTATAGTCCAGGTAGAAGAATGAGACTTCTCTGTTGAACATAAGGGTCGTTTTTTTTCCCCAGTCACTTTCTAGACAAAGTAACTTCAATTTGAATAGGAAGCCCTCTTCTCTTGACAGTATAATGTGTCCATTAAATATTGATCTGCATATAATACATCATAAACTGTGCTGGAATGTGCAGTACCAGGGAAGACACCAGTCTTGCTGATGCAGTTCATATCTCACTGGATATTTTGACATGTGACAACATCAACCAGCATATTTTTGCAACAGGGAGGTGAAAAATCCAAATCACAGTGATACACTGGAGAAAGATACTGCTATTCTGTAAAATCACTGCTAGCCAAGAAAGACTTCACTCTGGCATTATAGGGCAGTATTTTGATGTATGTCAGCAAAGCCCAGTCTTCCTGACACAAATGGCTGAAAATAAACTGTGGGCAACTTCCTTTGATTTTATGGCTACTTTAGTTTCATGACACCCAAAGGTTTGATTCACCAAGAAGAGTTTCAACCATCATAAATGGCAGGCAGTTCAGCACTCCCTTCAGTAAATTGGGGAAAAGCAAAAAAGAAAAAAAAAAAAAAAGTCTATCTGCCTCCACCTGGAATTGTACAGAACAAAATCTATGACAAAGGAGCTAAACAGAGTAATAATAAAGGCAATAATGTCTGAGATCTGTAGGAAACAGGTTCCAAAGGAGATCCAACCCCCAAACTTGTATTCATTCTTGCTCTCTCTTTTTTTTCTTAAACAATTTCATTATGAGTCTGAATCTGAGTGGCAGCTCCATATTGCTAACCAGTTTAATTATTAGTGCTAGCAGGCTGCAGTCTCAGGCTTGCATTTCACTGAGATGTTCAGGATCAATACTGAGCCTTGACGGAGTTAATATTACCAGCTTCCATTTGCAGGTGCTATTTACTGAGAATGTGAAGCTCCCAATTTCCACACACACAGATACATACACACACAGAGCGTTCAATCCCGTAGAAAACTTAAGGGTAGTGCCCTTATCTTAGGAGACAGTCAGGCGAGCCACAACTCCCACAAACTTATTCCCAGTCTGTAATGTTTTCCATCTGCTAGAAACCAACGTGACACATACTGCTTGTGAGCTACTTATTTTGGGTAAAACCCATAAGGCATAAATTCCACCTAAATTGAGTTTTAGGCAGATTAACTAAATGCATAGACTTCAATCCTAGCAAACCCATTACATGAAGCCTCACCAGGCACCCCTGTGATGAGTGAGCTTCCAAGATACCTCAATGAAAGCAGTGCTTGGAGGAGATAGGTCCCAGCTTCTCAGTGAATAGCACCACAGCCCTGTCATAGCCGGAAAGGCATCTGAGCCTTTCCTGAAGCCATGCAGGCTCCATCTCCTGCACGAGTCACCCAGGGTCAAACACAACAGTTACTGGAGCATGCAACTCAGTAGCAGGAGAGCTGGGACCAGGACGTTTCTCTGCCTTAAGGGAAGTGCAGAGTCTGTTTGTCCTGGAAGGAATGAGCCTGCCTGTATCTCTCTGGGTAAAGCTCACCCACGTGCATCCAGGAGTGCAGGAGTACTCAGGTGAGGAAGCCAGAGTGAGGCGGGATCCAATTTAGTAATCCAGCAGGACCCGTAGGATTGCAGCTGCCTGGACAGCCTCTTGGTGTTGTTTTGTTTGTTTGTTAATTCCGCAGTTGTCTACTTCAGCAACTCAGAAAGCAAAGATTTCCCACAACACCAGAAGTCCCTCAAGAGGAGTCTTATACCCTCTGCAGTCATAACCTTAGGCTCTGACTCTGCAGTCTCCTCCATTCTTGCAGGAGAGCTGACAACACAGTCAGAGCAGCCCTTCCAGCTCTATAATCCTGAAATAGGGAAAGAAAAAAATGTATGAGCACATGTATCTCTCTGTTCAGCACAGGTTATATATCTCTCTGTGTGTCAGAATCCCTTCAAACTCCAGAGCTGCTCCTGTCACGGGGACACTGTTGTTTTGAAGAGTGGTATGACTCGTGTCCTCATCTCATGAGATCCTGGAGATCACCTCAACTGTGGTGACAAGGGGCAGAAAGAAGATTATGTACACATTTGATGTTGTGTTCAGAAGCCATCCCTCTGAACACGCAAAGGCATCAAAATGTTAGGCTCTCTGCTATTGCCTTGCCACCATACACAGGTGAAAGCTGAGTTATCACTTGTCTTTCTACCTGAAATCTTATCGGAAGCAATGGAGGGATCTCATTAGCATCTCAGGTATTAAACAAGATAAACTCCTCCTGCTCTCTTCATTCCCATCTTTATCCAGCTCCATTCATCCGTCAGGTTCCTCAGCACAGGGGTAAATTCCACCTGAAGAGAGTCCTCAACATGACAGCAACACTGAAGCCAAAATTCCTGCTCTAAATACAATGGGCAACTGAAGCTGGAAAGCCTTTGTATATTTGCTAATCAGCGTCTTCTTTTTAGAGGCAGAAAGTACAAAAGAATCTCTGCAAATAATTAAACACCCTAATTCTGGATTATCTCTGATTAATGAAGAGGAAGGTGCAGTATCTCAGGAGCCCGGGAATGCTAGGCTGCGATTATGTCATAATTGATCCCTATTGTTTCCAGCTGAAGTTTATCTATCTCATTTTCTCATGATTGTCTCCTCTCAGCTCCTTATAAATTAGATCCAACTATTAGGAGCAATTGCTATGCTTTTCCTGAAACACAGTCTGAACACAATGGGAAGGAGGAATGTAAAGTGAGGGGCTCCTAACTGCAAGCTATTTTAGTGTGTGTTCTTTTTAGAAGGGGCTACTATTGTTTTCTTTGATTCCACCTCTGCCAGCCTGTAGTGATGATTATAGGGACTTTTGCAGCTCATTCTTGTAGCTTGCAAGTGAGGTGTTTTAGCACTGCAGTTTCCACCATGCACTGTATGGATCTGTGAGGGTGTGCTGACCTTCTGAAGATGCTACAAAGGGAATAAAGGACAGCTGTCCCATTGTTAGGGCTGGCATCCCTGGCGCAGTGATCTGCGCCCCTTCAGGGAAACAACTGGGGCTTTGCAAATTGATTAAAAGCTCAAAAGTCTTTAGTAGTAATAGAAGGGGATAGAAGCCAGAACTTCTCAGATCTCTTCCAATCTGTTCCAAAAACCGCCTTAGCATATGGAAATTACTCTTATTCTCTCTGAGTCAGTTTGCTTGTAGCTAAGAGTGTTAGCAATACTTTCCCCCACTCTAGTGGTGCATGTGACCCTTTGAAGTGTTGATCATTTCTGCACTCCAGCACATATTCATAAATGCACCTCTGTGACCTAAAACCTTATGTAAGAGTTCAGGCAGTGTGAAATTCCTCACGTGGCAGTGCAGGCCAGAGAAGCTCTGCCTGCATGTCTCTGATGTCCAAAGGAAAGCACCCATAGAGGCACTGGTTCTGCAAATTGTGATATAATAGTCACTGTAAAAGACTGATTCAGATTTCACTGGTAGAAAGATGGCAGTCATCACATATAGATCTGTCCCATCCTTACTTTTTTTTTTATATATATATATTTGGAGCCTGGGCAAGCACTGAGCAGTCTGTGTAATGGAGCTGTACCAGGCAGTGATTCAAGACAGGTACCTTGTGTGTTTGGATCAAGCAGAATGCCTCTCTACAGCTGGCCTTTGGATGCTTGTAACAAGCACGTGCAGCTGTCTCTTGACTCTCACAAAACTCCTCACTGTTTCCTATAACACCAGAGGGAGGAGCCTTCAGCATTATGTCTAACACAAATAAAAGGAAAATCATCTTCACTGAATAAATTATGAAATTGCACGGTACTGGCATTGGAAGCTATGGAGGTCAGAAGATAAGTGGATTCAAAAAGTACTTGCCAAGTTTGGGTCCACCAGTGCCCACTGCAGGCAGCGTAAGACTTTGTGATGCAGATATGTTTAATGGCTGGGATTTGGGAAGGAATAACTAGTTTGCTATACTTCCTCCACTAGTTTCTTTATTGCCAGTTCTGAGGACAGGACACTTAGCTAGACAGACTGTCGTTGGTACCCCTGCAACTCTTCTAATGTTCTTTTTCCTCTTCTAGGGTGTGCATTTGTGAAATACTCTTCACATGCGGAGGCCCAAGCAGCTATCAATGCCTTGCATGGCAGCCAGACAATGCCGGTGAGTAGCTCTGTAACATGGCACATGAAGGTCGGTCCAGGCGTTGCTGCACTGTGGCCTGATGGAGAAGGAAGGGTTATTTATCTATGCTTTGCTACTCATCTTCTGGGAAGGATGACTTAGGCATGTGGGACGTTGGGTATGTTTAACTCATCGGAGGAAAGGCCAGGATCACACTGTCATTTCATCACACCTGCACAGAACTCCAAGGGGTGCTGTGTTCCAACACCAGCAGTTTTGATGCACTGAAAAAAAGACATGGTTCATAGAGGTCAAAAACATTGGGTCAAATTCACCATGAGCTCAAACATTTAAGTTTCAGAGGAATGAATCAAAGACAAACTGGTGTCTAAAGACTTTTGTTTTCCCTCTCCAAAGAGTCCTTTCTTCTATATGAAGGATAAAGAACTTTTTGCCAAAATTGAGCAGAAAGCAGCATGCTCACATGGTAGCACTACAAGCTAGAGACACATCACACCATGATGTGCACTATCATTGCCTTTCTGCTGCTAAAGTGCTTGCCTGGGCATAAATGTGATCCCTTACAGAGACAGTCAGACACTTCTGAATCTTTCAGGAAATGTTTGAGGTATCATTCTGCTTGGACTAATACAACATTTCCAAGCTGATAGTCCAGGGAAGTGGAAATTAAAATTGAAATGTGTTTTCTATGCAAAACAATACTTGTACACCACCATGCAGACCTGGAGGAATGTAAGACATTCCATTATCAGCACAGAAAGGCAATCTGGTCCAGTATGTTTTGGGTTATTATAATAATATATTATTTTTATTACTAATTATTCACAGTGTAAATAAGGAAAGGCTAAGAAGTATGCTGAAGGCTTGTAAAAGATACAGGGAATCTCAATATTCAATATTTAAGATTATAAAATCTCCCTTTCAATAAGAACCTCTGATCTCAATTCACAAGTTTATCCAAATAATTTTAAAATGGGCCTGGCAGATTGTCTCTGGGTCTGTGTAGGGATGAAAGTGGGAAGTTTGTCACAGGAAGAGGTTTCTAGTAGTAGCAAATAATCAAGATCTTGTTTTTTAGAACTCAAGATCAGACAAGTCAGATTAGAAAACGGTAAATGTTTACCGGTGAGGTTATTAAAAGGTGGGATCTCCATTTTTTGGATGATTACAATCAAGACTGGGAGACTCTTCCCAGGAGATTCCTTCTAACAGAACCACATGCTGGGCTTGATGCTGGCATCACACAGTGAAAAATTGTGGACATCTTTCCTGAGCAAGGCTGAAGAGGTATTTGAATGTCTTTAAAACTTTGACCTAAAGTGATAGCATCTATAGACTGACACAAGGAATTGCAGTTCCACAAGATGTGGTACCACTAAAAGGTGTAATAAAGTCAGTTCCAGACCCAAAAAGCTTAGAAACTTGGGTGATACTGAGATGAAGACAGGGAAGAAAACAAGCAAAACACAAGGAGTGATTAAGATTTTATCTAGACCTACTATATCTAAGATATCTTTATTCTACCTATTTCAGCACTCTTTATATAAGAAAAAATATTCCTCTCTTTACCACTTCATAGCAAGTTTTGGTTCATCCTGCTGAAGCCAACTGAACTTAAGATGTGCAAAATAATGAAGAATTTGCCCATTTCATCAGTCAGATTTTTATGGGACCATTTTTCTTGTTGATTTATTTGACTCAAATACCTGTTTTATAAATGTTCTTGAATAACCACATCTCTGGTTATCTGAGAAAACTTTGTACTTTCACCCTCACCAGATACATCCTAAATTCAAACGTCCATGACTTGACAACTTTCCATGAATTGGCTGAATCTCAGCGGTACTCCATATAAAAACCGTTAGTCCACAGAAAATGCAAGGAGAAAATTATGAGCTTAGTCTTCATTTTGAGCCAAATTACGTGGCAGTGCCTCGTATCTCCCTTGAGCTATGAGCAGTCACACAGGCAGTTACCATGGCTCAGCAGACTAGTGAGGACCTGTCAAGAGACTTGCCACTTGATCAAGACATTGAGCACACACTGCTTTTCCCAGAGGGCCTCAAAATGCTTCGGACACTTTGAAAGAAATGGGCCAAATTCTGCAAGTGATCTCTGTCCCAATTCTCCTTTTCATGGTGCTTCAGGGTGCACTGCATCTTTCAGGGCTTGGATGTTCACAGAGAAATGCAGCCACCTCGTGGTGAGATGACGATGTAGCCCTCGTCCTTGGAAAGGAGGGGTGCGTTGCTGCCATCTTCCTTCAGCTCCCCCTCCCAATTCTTTCACCATTAGGACTGGCCTCGTTTGTCCAGCTGCGATGCCAACTCAAAGTTGTTCCTGTGGTTCAGCCAATTTAAATGTCTCTTGCCTTGTCCTCGTGTACTACCAACGGGGCATCCATCATCATTCTTGTCAGGTCTCGAGCCATTCGTTCGTGCGGCAGACTCCTGTTTCTCCACAGCTGTCAGGATTATTGCTCTGCTGTGACTTCCTGTTCACACAACATATGTTGCCTAATAGTTTCAAAAGGCAACTTTCTTTTATGAAAGTTTTTTTTATTAACCTTTCCTTGGACAGGTGCCTGACTGCCATCCGTCACAAGCCCACTTCTCCATGCGAGGCTCTTTTTCCTCCAAAGGGCTCACCAAGCATGTCTACAACTTTCAAATTTTCACACAAAGCAATTGCATTGAGAAATAACTTTCCTGAAATCTCTTACTCCTGAGCAAGCCCGAAGTTCCTTCTGTATTTTAGAGCACCAGCCAAGAGTGCTTTTTGGAGGCCTTTCAGAATTGTCTGTCAGCTTTAGGATAGAGTTTTCTTGACCTTCATGTCCTCCTTTGTGAGAGATCATCATTTTCATGTACTTTTGCACATTATTTTTTAACAATGATTTCCCCATTTTACCTTTAGGTCTCTTCACTTGATTCTCTTACTTCTTCATCCAAGCCTTGTCCCTAGCAGCTTTACCTACCAACACGAATTCAGCTACTATTTCTATAGTGACAGCTTGCAGATCTGACTTCTCTACTGCAGGACTGACTCCTGTCCAAACTAAAATCTTGGCCTGTCTTTCCAGCATCTCCTAGTGGATGGATGTCTAGCTGTCAGATCAAGCTCACTATGCATAAAGTGGAGCTCTTAAACTTTTCCTCCCAAACCCTGAATCCTCTCTCCTCCGCCTCCATTCTCAATTACTGTGGACAACATTATCATCCTACCTGTCAGTCATGCTCCTACCTAAGCATCATCTTCAGCTTGGTTTTCTCTTTTTCTCCATGTCTTCACATCCGGGCGACAGCCAAATGTTGAGGAGTCATTCTGCACAACACATCTAAGATATGGCCTTGTCCGTCCACCCACGGAGAATATAAACTCTCCTCCGTGCTTCATCACTCATACCAAAATTGCAGCAGCCTTTATGCTACCCATAAAGTACACAAGGTTAAATATTATACTACTGTTGCATCTATTTGACTATCTCATCCACCTCAGAATGGCACCTCAGAATTTCTTGTTCTTGTGAATTAATTCCTGAAATTCCTGAAAGGGGTAAAACTACTGTTACCTACATTTTTTGCATAGAAGCAGATAATGTAAGGAGGAATTAAGAATGTAATTCATTTTATTTAGCTTTAACAGCCTGAAAATTTGTAATCTATTACAAATGTTTTCCCACAAAGGACTGAGAGAGAAAGAGAGAGAGATTTCTAAAGATTTGTGCATTCTTCCCCTTACTTATCTGTGCTAGGATGAGATAAATCACCTTCTGGGCATGTCTGTCCCTTTAATAAATTATAATGGAAATTCCTTTCATTAATTATAAGGAAGATCTCTGCAATGGCATTAGACTGAATAACTGAGGTGGGACTTGTCTCACCTAACTGAAGACATCTAAAAGTTTAGGAACTGAGATCATGTTGTCTAAGTGCTTGTCATCTAAGTTTCTATTACAATCAATAGGGAGAAATAGATACCTCTGGAGGTATTATATTATACAGAAATAGATCTTGAAACCTGTCAAACCAAAACCCAAATAGAAGTGTGCTTTTCAGCTAATTCTAGGTGTTGGACTCCCATGGTCTGTCAGATACAAAATAGTGGTTAGTCACCTGAAGTGCAACTTAGAATGAAAAAGGACCCTTACTGCTTAAAAACAAAAGCAAAACCACTTGCTTCCTGCAGATGTCTTGGAGTCTACAATTGCCTTTGCTCCCTGGTGACACACCATTGCCACCTGAAGTCCTTCTGCTCCACTTGCCACTGCCGTGGTAATCTTACTGGAGATAAAGTTCTTCAGTAACTTTATCTGAAATGAGCCATCTACAAATCAGATGTCGATGCTCTTAATTTGGCCTCACTTCAGAGCATGAGTCCTCCCAAATACCTCAGACATCTACCTTAAAATCACCTGACTCAGCTTTGGAGGTATTCGCCTCCCCATTGAGTGTGCCAAGAGCAAGCAGCTTAGACTGTACACCTAACTTCATGTCTAATGCAAGGGGAGCTGAATCCCATTCTGGGTGTTTGCTGCCCAACTAAAGCAATTTGGGGTTCAGGAAGCGGGCATCCCCTCGTCAGAGTCCTCTGATACCTGATCCATCGAGTGTATTTTGAACTTGCCTAACACTCCAACTGTCAACACTATGTTCTTTCTATATCTCTTTTCATTCATTAGTTTTTTAAAACTGTTAAGACATACAGAATGCTATAAGGTGGCTTCCCTCGTTACACAGACCAAGTAATCTTTTGTTTAGTTATAGAAGTTTCTGCACCAAGTTGGTCAAACTGCAGCATTTCTTCTGCATCCAGGAAATATCATCCCAGGTCTATCTATGCCTGGCTGAAAATCTTCCATGAAAATTACTTTTCATATGGAATCTTTGGTTTTGTGAAAAGAAAGGAAAATGTGAGACTTGGATACAAGCACTGAACAGATGTCTGCTTTACAGAAAGAGATTCAAATTACATTGAACTTCAAAAAAAATTTGCAACCCCAAACTTTTCTAACTTGG